GAATTGTCCAGATGGGGCTTGAATTTGTGCTCTGCCTGCCTCAGTTTCACAAAGTGCCAAGATTTCAGGTGTGAATGAGCAGATCTGGCTCTTCAGTCCTTCACGTACTTGCATAGTTTTCCATAGTGTGGCTAGATGACATTCTTCTTCTTTTTCAGGCATCAGCTGATAAGCAATGCTCTATTTCCACTTCTGCTGCTGTGAACACTTGGGTACACACATGGGAGCCCTTGCTTTCAATTCTTCTGTATACACACAAGAGTGGTTTTGCTGGAGCCTGTGGTAACTGTGTTTACATTTTGGAGATACTATCAAACCCCACCATTTCTCTTTCCTCTCCACTTCCCTTTCTTTCAAGACAGGGTCTCGTTATGTAGTCCAGGCTGGTCTCAAACTCATGGCAATTCTCCTACCTCAGCCCCCAAGTGCTGAGACTATAGCCACCCACTGTTATGCCTGGTTATGTCCTCAATTTGCAGACAAAGAAACTGGGGTCAGGAGAGTGGATCCCATGCTAGCCTAAGGATAATGGGTAGCAGGTTTGCTGAGTAACCAGCGGGTCCAGGCACTTGCTAAGAATGCTAGGATCAGCCTAAGAATGTTAGGATCAGAGCCTCAGAGTCCCTGGAATCAGCCAGGTCTGAGTTGAACCCTCCACATGGGATAGTTACACCCCCATTCTGAGTTTCCATGTTTCTATCTGCGTCACTGGTCATCATCCAAATCCCTACCTCCCAGCCTCATGGTGGTGAGTAAATCTGGTACCAGAGGAAGAGGATGGAGAGGGGGAATGTAAATTGCCAAACGTCACACAGCCACCAGCGAAATCTGGACCCAGCCTGCAAACATTTAGCTTCTCTTTTCCAGAAGCCACTGAGGGGCGTGTCTTAAAATAGCTCCTGGGTGGCATTTGCTGCTACACCCTTCTTGGGGGTGGGGGTGGGGGGCTGACATGTGGCAACACAGAATCTTGCCAAATCAGCCTGCCATGACCTGTAATCACAAAGGACCAAAGCTGGTTCCCTAGCTGAGGCGTCTGTGCCACCTTTTCCCCGGTCACTTACTCCTCCCATTTACAGCAGCAGAGCCATGGGCAGGATGACTTCTTGGCCTGCAGTCACTAGCTACTTCTGCTCCTCTGTTGTGGACCATCCCCCCCTTTTCCCTCACTTCTGCCTGGCATGTAGTGGAATCCTACAGGAACCTGGGCTGCCTGGTGCCCACTGACCCCGCTGATTTCTCCTGGTGGACCCTTCCTGCCAGCTCACTGGGCTCCGACGCCTTGAGGGTACTGCTTTCTCAAGCCTCAGGGCCTTGGCACCTGCTGTTCACTTTCTGGGAAGGCCCATATCATCCCATTATCATTCAGGGATCATTCACACCTTCCTTCTGCTGGCAAATGTGAGGTCCTGAATTAGATTCTTGGTACTCAAACAAAAACAAAGCCCAAACAAAAGCCCACCTTAAATTTCCTTCCAGAAACCTTCCCTGGCCATTTTACCTAATCTAGGTTTCCAGTCTCTCCCAGTAAACTTGTCCTATTTACTCAGGCCCTTATCTGCCTTTTTATTCATTTGTTTTCTTTTTTTCTTTTTTTGAAAACAATTTTAACCTTTATTGTTGTTACATTACATACATGATAAAATTAAATTACAAGGCATATAATTGAACAATAAAATTCTTTATACAAAGTACATTTAGATACCTAAATACAATCTGGTTTTGAAAATGAAATCATGTATATAGCTGTATTCCTAAGTGTGTTGAATCCAATGCTATATGAGACTCCTGAAGGTGCAAATCCAGGTAACAACAAAGACACTTTTCTGAATTCCCATGTTTTACCGAGCATCAAAAACCACCAATCTTTTAGTTCTTTTCTTGTACATTATTCTGTATCCACATTCTCTACATCTGATTGGATCCCTGGATTTAATTTCATTTTCTGTGTGACATTCTCCACAGATATATATCATTGGCTGCTGCTTTGGGGGTTGAACGTCCTGTTGAGTGTCCATTGTTAGTGCCTGATCTGGGCAACACCGAAGAGGTTCCCACTCTGGCGTTTCTAAACAGCTCATTTGTTTTCTGATTGCTATCTTCAATCACTTATGGGACTGAGACCAGTGTCTGATACGTAGTGTTCAGAAGATACCTTTTTCTTTGGAGACAGGGTCCTGCTGTATAGTTCAGGGTGGCCTTGAACTCACTATGGAGCCCAGGCTGGCCTCAAACTTGTGCAGAGCCCCTGCTTCAACCTCCTGAAGTGCTAGGCTACAGATACATGCCACCATGCCTGTGTTAGAAATATCTTTTGACAGAATGACCATTGGAATTATTATTATTGTTATTATTATCTCATCATCATCATTATTATTTGTTTTTTTTTTTTTTCTCCGAATGCCCTCAGGGGTGGTTTGGCTGGCTCTAGTGTTGTGGGGATCGAACTACAGCAACCTGAGGCTGACAGCATTGTGGAAGCAGCCACTTAAACAACTGAGCTAAGGCCAGGCCCCCATCATCATTATTATTTATGGGGGATAGTTTTTTTTTTTTTTTTTTTGGAGACAGAGCCTCACTTCATTGTTTAGATTGGCCCTGAACCCATTATGCAGCCCAGCCTGGCCTCAAACTCAAAGCAGTTCTCCTGCCTTAGCCTCCCAAGAACAGAGATTACAGGTGTGCACCATACCTGACTGGTCTCATTATTATAAATACATATTTTCTTCTCTTAAATTAGCTCATGAAGAAAGCCTTTTCAGGGCCAGGGAGATGGCTCAGTAGAATAAGTGCTTCCCTGGAAAGCGTAAGGGCCTGAGTTCAATCCCTGGTTCCGCAAAAAAAAAAAAAAAAAAAAAAAAGAAATCCTTTTCATTTTTGAATTTTTTTAAAAAGCCTGTAATTCTAGTACCAGGAGGCTGAGGCAGGAGGATCATTGTGAATTCAAGGCCAGCCTGAGCTACATAGTGGCTTCCAGGGTAGTCTGAGCTACATGTTGAGACCCTGATTCAGAACAAACAAGCAAAGTATCAATATATGTTTGGAGTACATGGTGAGCACTTCCTTCTGGGGAGATGGTGCCTGTACTTAACACATTTTAATTCTTTCTTTTTTGCTTTCCGTTTCTCTTTTCTTCCTCTCCCAGTGAAGCTCCGCCCCCCTTTTGAGACAGGGTCCTGCTATATAGTTCAGACAAGCCTTGAACTTGTGGTGATCCTCTTGCCTCAGTCTCTTGAGTTCTGGGATGACAGGTGTGGACCACCACATTCAGCTAAAGACCTCTATACTCAGCATCAGCATGAAAGGAAATTCTTCTGAAAGGTCACTGGAATTCAAGTCCTTACTCTCTTGCTGACAGGATGTGTGACCCTGGGCAACTCACTGTCCCTCTCTGGCCTTTCAACTTATATAAAAAAATTTCCCCTTTAAAAAAAAATCTGAGCCAGGGAGATGGCTCAGTAGAATAAGTGCTTCACTGGCAAGCACAAGGGCCTGAGTTCAACCCCCAGTTCCACCAAAAAATAAACAAAATAAAACAAAACAAAAAACCCCTCTGGTATGATGGTGTGTACGTGTAATCAGCTAATTGGAAGCTGAAGCAGGAGGATTACAAGTTTGAGGTCAACATGGTTAACTTAGTGAGACCCTATGTTAAAATCTAATTAAAATAAAATATAAGGCAAGACAAGACAAGAATAAAACAAATCAAAATAAAAATTAAATTGGCTTGTTGACATAGTTTGCTCATAAAGCACCTCTGGTTTTGATTCCTGGTAATGAAAAAATCAAAATAAAACAAAAGCTCTTAAGATTTTACATATTGGCATCCCATCTCTTTAAAATATCCAGTAAAGAAAATTACACATGGTTTTAAAGGAAGTGATGATTTCCCCAGAATCCAATTCCAACTTATTTTTAAAACTGGGAATCAAACTCAGGACCTCGCGCTTGCCAGGCAGGCATTATACCACAAAGATAAATCTCCTACCCAACACCAACTTTTGGACAACTATAGTCAGCCACTGTCAATCCCATGTAGTCAAGGCTGAGCTACCTGTGGGAGCGCAGGTAAAAGCAGGTACATCCTAGGAAGGGTGCATAAAAAGGCTGCTGCAGGAGGGGTTGCTGCAGCTGGGTTTTGATGGATGAATAGGAGTTGGTCTTTAGGGAAGAACATTTAGCTGAGGAAACAGTATTAGGGGGCTTGAGAGAGGTGGAGAAAAGCAAGGGATATTGACATACTTTCACACTTGTTGTAAGAACCTCAGCTCTCTCTAATACAGAGGATGACAAAACCCACTTTGCAGTATAGAAGAATGCAGTTTAGATATGCTAAATGACAGAGCCAGCCCTAAATATTGAACTTGCTAGCTCCTTCTAAAGGGGATTCTTTATTGCTTGAGGAACAAGAAGTTTGCTTCTGATAGATGAGGAGGATCAAACCTGATTGGCTGAGGGAGTTTAAAGGGGAAGTAGTTGGTTAAGTGGGCAGAGAGGCAAAGTCTGATTGGTTGGAAAGAAGGAGCTGGAATTTAATTGGCTGAGAATTAGGACTAGTTTAACTGGATAAGGAGCAGGAAGGTAAAGTCTATTTGGTAGAGGTAGTATATGTGATTGGCTGAAGGGAAGAAAGATAGTGGTTGATTGGCTAAGGAGAACCAGAATTTAATTAATTGAGGGGGCAGAGGGCAGAGTCTTAACTTGATGAGAAACCAGAGATTGGAGTTTGATTGGCTGAGGGATCAGGGAGCCCTGACCTGGCTGGGGCCAAGGGGCTGAGGTCAGAATGCAGCATCAGAGAGAGGAGGGCTCAAGTATAGGTCAGTGGCTTTAGCAATGTCACTGACTTTCTTCATAAATCCTGTGTTCCTGGGCCTAGTACAGGGAGGTGGGGTTTGATCCCTGCAAACTGTGGGGAAATAGAAATAGGTGCATGTGGCTGAGTGGTGGGGCTGGTCACTCCAGGCAAAGGTCAGGCCACAGCTGGTGAGAGGTGACCTGTTTCCCATCATCCCTCATGCCTCCTCCAGGCAACCTGGCCACAGGAGCCCTGTCACCTTCCTTAACCCTCCCGCCTCTGACTCTGATCATCCCAGCTCCCTCCCCTCCCTAGTAGTGCCACTTCACCCCACTTGTCCATTTTGGGGGAACACATGTCCCTCTCCTATCTCAAGCCATCTCCCTGTGGCCACCTGAAGGTTTTTATATTTCTAATACTGAACATTGAACCCAGAGCCTTTAAACTGAGCTCCATCCCCAGTCCTTTTTATTTTTTTTTTAATTTTTAATTTTTTTTAAATGAGCAATTTTAAAAAATTGTTCATTTTAATGAGAAAAAATGAAAAAATAGCAATGAAACAATTTCAAAACAGGTTAGCAAGACAGTTACAATAATTAATACGTTGCAGATTGTTGTCTTCATAGTTACTTTTTAAAAACCTTTTTTGCTTTTTGAAATAGGGTCTCATTTTGTATTTTAGGCTAACCTTGAACTAGAAGCAATCATCCTGCCTCAGAGATCACAGGTATGCGCCCTCATACCTAATTATTTTTTATTTTGAGACAGGTTCTTGCTAAATTGCTGTCTCTACCTCTCAGAGTATTGGAATTACTGGCCTACAGCACCACACCCAACTGGATCTCTAGGGGGCCTGCCCCTTAGCTCAGTTCTTTAAGTGGCTACTTCAACAAAGCAGTCAGGCTCAGGTTGCTGTGGTTCGATCCCCACAACTCAAGCCAGCCAAACCTGCCCTGAAGGCATTCGGAGCAAAAAAAAAAAAGGAATCCTTCTGCCAACTGGATCTCTATGTTTTACTTTTTTGTGGTACTGGTATAGGAACCCTTGTGTTGTGTTGTGTTTTTTGGTTCTTTTGAAACAGGATCTCAAGTGGGGGCTGGCCAAATAGCTCAGTGGATTAAAGCACCTCCAAGCAGGTGTAGGAGCCTGGGGTTAGATCCCCAGGCCTGCCATGCAGCCCCAGCCCCACCCCTGGGGGCCGCTGAGATGGCAATTGAAACTGGGTGTGGAGAGCACCTATAATCCCAGCACCTGGGAGGCTGTAAACAGGCAAATCACTACGAGTCCAATCTAGCAGTGAGACCCTGAATACACTGTAGGCCCTTCCCTAAAAATACAAAAAATGTTGCAAAAAAAAAAAAAAAAAAAAAAAAAAAAAAGAAACAGGCTCTCACTATGTAGTCCCTTGCTGCACAAGGCAAGGACTTCACCCCAGCAGTTGTCTTTTCTCTCTCCTTTCCTCTCCCCTTCTTCCCTACATCCCCATTGAAAACTCCAGCCTGAATGTATCTAGTTCCCAAACCTCAGGGTCACTGTGAGTGACTTATTCTTCTTGTTCTCTTAATCCTACTTCCAACCTATCAGCAAGTTCAGTCAGTTCCACTTTGATAACAAATCCTAAATCTAACCTCTTTTTCAACTCTTATTTTCTTTCTCATTTGCATGTTCTTTTATTCTCCTTAAATTTGTCCATATTGAACTGGAGGGAGCCTGTTAAAACCTAAGTCATTTCCCGGGTTCCACCAAAAAAAAAAAAACAAAAAAAAAAAACCTAAGTCATGAGCTGGGCTTGGTGCATGCCTGTAATCCCAGCACTTGAGAGGCTGATGTAGGAGAATGGAAGTGAGTTCAAGGCCAGCCTGGGACTATATAGCAAGATCCTGTTTCAAAAGAACTAAAAAACAACACAACACAAAAAAAACAAGAAACCACAAGCCAGGCCTAGTATGTCCTCTACTCAGAACTCTCTGTGGCTCCCGTCTTTCTCAGGATAATAACCTGAGTCCTCTCAGTAACCCACCAGGTCCCGCATGACCCATCTAGTCACGATGTCATCCTCCTCTCCTCTGGCTCTTCCCCTTCTCTCCCAATTGCAATTCCATTGGTCTCTTTTCTGCCCCTTGAGGCATGGTCCAGCCTCAGCCCCTTTGCACAACTGTGTCTTCTGTCTCTCCCGTTCCCCTGCAGTCTGCTCACACCTCCCCTCCACACTCAGGGCTTCCCTATCTCCTTACCTTGGTGGGTGTTCTTCTGTAGCGCGTTGCACGTAGGA